AATAATTTTTCCAGCAAAAGTTAGTTAAACAAATGTCATCCTACTGTGGCAATGGCTTGAATTAGGCAGAAGAACCATTGTCAAAATAAAGAGGGTTCTCCAAAAAATGAAATCTCAGAAAGTTTTTTTCTAAAGAGTTAACTCTTCATCTCTTATCAAAGATAGACAAAATCACAGATGATCTTGAAAAACGGGGTCGGAAAAAATATCGTGTAATCCTCAATCCAAATTTAAGTGCTAACATCTTTGACAATCTACAATTAAAATCATCTACAATTTAAACCATTATCTTTAGCTTATAAGTTCAGTAGAATTTCGAACATAGATCGAAAAAAACTCGAAATGTTGATTTTCGAAAATATAATCTTTCGAAAAGGAGTTTCAAGTCAAAAAAATATATTTTCGAAAATAATTTCGAATTTCGAAAATACACTTTTCGGAAAATGAATTCTAAAACGGATAATGAATTTTTTTGAGGATAAATTCGATCTCCGAAATAACTTAATTTACGAAATTCAAGAATATATGAAGAATATATTTGGAATTTCAATATTGGGCTCAATTTCGAAAATCCAGATTATCAGGTCCGAGAGATCATAGACTTACACCACCTGGCCAAATACGAAAATTTTAGCATAAATATTAAGAGCCAAAAATACTGCTAAAGTGTGTTTTGTTTACATTGTAGGGAAATCACTTACGCGTATCAGCGCCAAAGCTATCGTTATATTTATATTCACTCAAAATTGGGCAAAACATGTCTGAGTGAAGAAAAAAATTACTTTTCCGTGCATTGACAAAGGCTCTCCGAAATCGCCTATGTTGCCTTTGCCTAAAACGCCAATTTCATTAGTAGCATTGACGTCCTACTGACTTAAATGCATTGGAATGTCAAAAAATGGCACAAATTTCCGAGAGCCTTTAAATAAAAAAAAACCGAAGAAAAAACATTCAAAAAAGTAAGGTCAAAATCGGGGGAGAAAATTCATCTACCCGATTTTTTTTGAGTTAGCGAGTTTTCCATTCGGCCCATGCGATTCTGCTATCCATAAGTTATTCTATATAAGCCTAATTGTCAGAAATGTTTCCATCACTTAATATTTAAAACACAAAATCACCCTGTTCTTATCAGCGGCACAAAATAGAAGTGGCGCCGAAACACATATATTTACAATTTGTGGCATTGTAAAGAACTATCAATACTTTTTGTTGTTGAGAAATTTATGACAATAACAACAAGTATTCATAATTCTTAAAGTTGCTACAAAAATTCATATCATTTCGGTGCCACTTCTATTCACTACTACATCAAATACGTTGGTTCTTATGGCAGACAAGCAGAGATGTTCAAAATTTGTCTAATATTCATCCATCCATAAGTTGATATATCTTGAGAAGTATTAGTTTTACTAGCCAAAATTTCATGACATCTTCTCTTTCGGACCACTACACCGTCGCGCCAAACTTCAAAAAGCACATATCTGTACACTAGGCAATGTAGATGGGAATAAATCCTATCGATCAAGACCTATCTGCATCCAAAAATACTTTGTTTACTATGAAAAATGCTTAAAATTGCGATGGCGTCGTTCGCGTTCTATGAAAACTTGTTCGCCGGATATCTCAAAAAGTTGAAGTAGATGTAACGACCCACTTTCATCCATACCGGTTTTTTGAGGTCAATGACCGGTATGGATAAAAGTGGGAAAAAACATCTGCTCCAATTAAATGCAGAATATTAATTAGCGAAACCGCAATTATGTGTCCATTTACAATGATCGGTATGGATGAAAGTGAGTTGTTCCATAAAAAACACGTCTGACATAATTATAGACAAAACAATTATGCATGATTGCTAGCTATTTTATTTATAAATAGAATGAAAAAACATAACCAATTTGTTTTTAAAATAAAAATTTCATGTTTTATTCTGAAATGAATTTTATAATAAAATGCACAAATACAAATAATTTTGTTGACTATATTGGATTTTCTATATCTTAATTTGATATTGGATTTTCTATCTCTTTATTTGCAACTGTTGCACTTCCATGAAAAAGAACCGATGAAATATTTTTATGTGTGAAATTGTTGTTCGCACTCACAACATTGTCGACAGCATTTTTTTGTGTGAAATTGTTGACCGCATTCACACCAACACCGACAGCAACACCGACATCAACACCGACACCAATTCCACCGGTAAAAGTCGCTGCATGACGAAGAATTGCATTTCTTATCCGGGCATAAACTCCATGTTGAGCAGTATTCAAATTCCCTCCGCTGTATGCCGTTTCTGATGCTTCGTTTAAATTTATTCTTGCTCCTCTTGCATTTTCCTTTCTTGATGGACGTAGATTCACCTCCGTTAAGCTTTGTTGTTCACCTGTTTTAGCACCATGTGAATATAGCGATGATGATGAAGATGATGTCCCTGAAGAGATTCGTCTCCGTTGTACTTCAATGTTACGAGATGATGTTTTAAATGTTTGCGTACGTTGTAATTTACTTGCTGCACTCAAACCTGAAGCGAATGACGGTGGTGGTAGTAGATAGAAAAGCTCAGTTCTGTCCATACCGGTTTTTGAAGGTCACCAGGTGTGGACAGAACTGAGCTTCTCATAGAGACAAATAATCCGTTAATTATACCTACTAATTAAATAAAAGGTGCAAGAAGTGCATTGTATTAAATCCGTCCACAATGTGTTTAGTAGATATAAGTTGTATGTTCCATCCATATCTGGTTTTTCAAGGTCATTGACCAAGGAAACTAATATGGATGAAACATACATGTACATCTGCTCTAATTAAATAATTATTGCGAAAGGTTAGTGTTCAATTATTGGCATTTCTGCTATGTACGTGTATATTTTATATGCACCTGTGAAAAAAAAAATTCCGCTCAAGAAATGAAAACGAAAGTAAATCATTTGGAATTATTGTGGAATGTGAATCGAAAAAAAGAACGAAAGAATGAAGGAAAGAACAAAAGAACGGAGAAACAACAACAACAAATAACATGCTTGAAACATAGGAAAACAAAACTTGGTTTTAGTGTGAACACATTGTTTTTTTATTTTTGAAATTAATCTCCACTGTTTTGAACACATTTGTTTATATTTTTTTGATTTTTAAAATCTTGAAATGTTTGAAAACTAATCAAAAGCGTCCCATGACTGCTTCCATTCGTGGAATGCGAAGAATATCGCTCTGCTTATCATCTTCGCTGCGTCTTCAGTCATTTGTACTACTGTATCGAAAAACCCTTAGTACGCGATCGATGGGGCATCGGGAGAGAAGCAACTTTTGTTCTGGCACTTTGTCTCCACCTGGTATTGGGCAATGCCCCGGGCCGGTTTTGTTTTTTGACTAAAAAAGTGGTTTTTTTCATAATGTGAATCAAAATAAGCATCACTCGTAGTCCATTTCTGATACCAGATTCGGATTTCGCGTAAAAAATGACCTAGAAAAAAGTTGATTTAAAACCATTCCTCAGTGATTTTGGTACCGTCAGAGGTCAAAAATCGTCAAAAACCCTTGAATTTGAGGCTCTGTGTGTGAATAGGTCGCTAGTGGCATATTGAAAATTCAAAGTATGCACCTAAATATGACTTATTTTTGACGAGCAATTCGAATCTGGTCATATAACAGACAACAAGTAGTGATTTAGTAGGTGAAATGGCTCAAATATGTGAAAAAATGCCCAAAAATCTCCTTTTTTTCCTCATTTTCTTCTAAAAAAAATTTTGTTTACCTTTTTTATTCGCATTTTAAGTTTAATTTGTCGAGTATTTGAGTTTTTATTCAATTTTATTTAAAAATACGGGCAATAAATCACTCAAAAATTGCCCGAAGTTTCCTAATATTTCTGAAAAATGAACGTAATATGCACAAGAGCTCTATTTTATCCATCACATCACCCCATATAGTAGACAAATTCTATCGCTCATGTCTATGGACATCGAGTGCGGTTGCTTACGAATATTTTCAGTACCTACCCGACGTAATACTGTTATGTTTTCGCATATTTTTGCCACCATATTCGGTTAATTCTATTGCAAGTATTTAAAAAATCTCATTTTTATCAACTTATGCCTTAAATATGCAATGTATCAGTCAAATCTTATTTTTTTGCAAGAAAATCGGAGTGTACCCACAGGAAAACACTTAAAAATGCATGTATGCAGTACCTACCACACGAAACTTCAAAATTCCACCACAAAGTTGCCTGTAAATGTCAAAATGTAAAAAAAGTCCACGAAATCGTTGAAACAGCGTGATTTTCTTTGGTCATTGAATTCTTATTCACTTGATGCTCTTTCCCTTGAAAAAAATTCCCTTTGGACAGAGTCTTTATTACAGTTAAATTGGAAATATTGTCAATTTCAACTTTTGCTGATTTGAGTTTAATTCAATTTAAATTTAAGTTTGATTGTAAAAAATATTATTCTGTGTGTAAATGTAAGGTAAGTGAAGCAAAAAAAAATTTCAGAGCAGAATTTAACGTTTGTTAATTGCATATTCGTTTTTTTCATTTCACACACACACATACACATACATAATATGCAAGAAAAAAAATCTGATTCGTATTCACAAGCATTAGAACGAATGAAAAATTATGCATGAGTTAATGAGTGAGCGAACAACGACAGCAACGGCATCAACGCACATGCGCCCCATATATTTTATATGAGCAACGTCTCTGTGAGCGAATGAGAAGTGAGCGAAAGAAAAAGTATGTGTGGAAAAGTATTGTATCTTGAATCTTGCTGCTATATTCAAACTGAAAAAGAAGCGGACGTGAAAAAGGTGCAATTACATTAACAACAGAAATCAGAGAGTCAAAATGTAAACAAGAGAAGCTTTCATTTCGGTTTGTGTCGCTATTTTATTTTTTCACACCAAAAGCAATAACAATCAATTTTTTTCGTGCAATTAGGTTAATGGTGCACCGAATTGGTGTCAAAACAGATGTTCGATTAAAACTATTTAATTTCCACTTTAGTTTTTTTTTATTTCATCATTTTGTTCTGTGTAAATTGATGATCCTTACAAATAACTCTACAGACTCTATATGAATTGCATTTTTGATGACAAGTATTCACTTCAAAGTAGATCAGCCATAAATATTTCTGAATATAGCTAGTCAAACAATTTTCACTCGGTTCAATACGGTTCGAGAATAAACTATAATAGGATCTTTGAAAACATTTCAGAACAATGACCATCGGAACACATCGAATTGGTGGCGTTGCTTACTGTAATAAAAAAAACAAAAACATCTTATTAAAATCATGATATTTATGTACATACAATTTTTCGAAAAATTGTTCTTTCACTTACATTTGTTTTCATGATCCAATCATAAAATTCGGTAATCCTGACATTAACATCTGGGAAGCTTTCTTCTTTTTCAATATCTTCACCAAATGATATTAACCCAGCTAGACGTGTTTCTTTTGTTGTCACGTTGAAAAAAGTCACGGGACCTTAAAAAACACAATTTTTAATGTCTTATGGTAAAAATTGTACATGCAAAACTACAGACTAAAAACATTTGAACAACACCATAGCTATAAATGAATTACCTCCACTGTCTCCGTTTCTTGTGAACTTGAAAAGTTCATCACCTGAACAAAACATCTTGTTAGTTATCACCTTCGGAACTGGGAGGTTGGCGTAGATTTTGCTACAAAGATCCTGATCCACAAGAGGTTGTTGCAGCCATCTCAAATTAACAATATCGTTTGTGCTTTCCGTAGGTCCATAGCCGGCAATTATAAATTCATTCCCTAAAGTTGTATATATGTTAGCGTCTTCGCTTGGATTTGCTATTTTTATACTTTTCATCATCTTAGTAGACAGGTCCAGGGGTGGATCAATTATAAGAACTGCAATGTCATTATTATGATCTGAAGTATCTTCATAATCAGGATGAATAATATGTCGCGAAACATTCCGGATTTCCCCACCATCATATGGATTAATTGATCCTGCTCTAATTTTTTGTGTTGTTACGTTCATTTCATTATCTTCCGGAAGACAATGCGCGCATGTAATTAATTTGCTGCTATTAATAATAACAGCACCGCACTCAAAGCTATCGTTCAGTAAGTATTGGGCAACAAAGGGAAATTCCGATATGTCTTTAACGTCATTACCGCCATAGATTCTGAGGCCTAATTGAAGTAAATAACAATAGTTATTTTTGAATTTTTTTTTAGAATAAAATCAAAATAGAGAAACTCATTCCGTCATGCTAACTAGCATTACAATAATATGATCATAACACACTTTATCGCAATGCTTAATAAAGTAGTTGCAATTTTTATTCGACAACAAATGTCTATCAAAGTAGATTAAACAGATGCAATTAGATCAAATTTAAACTAAAAAAGAATTTTGAAAAAGTGTGAATGGAAAACGACAGTATTAGAGCATGTTGTATTTGAGGCAAAGATATGAAATTTTAAAAGTGCATAGAAAAAAATAAATAAACGAAAAAATGCTGATCTTGAACAGAAGTTGTATGAATGGCATTAAATTGCTGGCATTTTGTTTCCAAGTCATGGTCTAACTATTTACTTCAAAACAAGCACTACTTTTTAAATGTTTATTTAAAAGGAAGTAATTTCGACGTATTTTATTCAATTATTCAATAATTTAAACTTATTTTTGTCGTTTTTTCAAAATCAGTCATCATTAACTTTTCCGAGAGTGTATAATAATTAAAAAACGACAGCACATGAAAATTGGACACATCACTACGTAAGATTTCAACATTTCACAACAAAACGATTAAATTTCTTTACTCAATCATATTCATTTCACCGTTAATTCGAAATGAGTTGC